TTTTACTCTTTAATGGTAGGCCCCACTTGTATTCTCTCTATAACATGAGAAAACTACTTTCATATAACATGAGACTAGTATTTTTCTTTTGTTTATATGGTATTCATTTAATTAATTAATTCATTCTTAATCAATATAATATCTTTATTCCTTATATGTGAATTCCTAACATTAAAAAGAATTAAAGGTTTGTTCGCATCAATTCATATTTGTTGAGCAACATATGATAAGAGACAAAGTTAAGAGAAAATAAGTAGACTCTTGAATTTTACTGATATGTAAATGTTCGATGTAATCTTAATATATGACTTATATAAACTAAGGAGAGTAATTAACTATTAACTAATGACATATACATATATAATATAATTAACTAAATAACTCACTCTTTCAGATTTTGTGAAAGCCCAAAACTTCCGTCAGTAGCTTGGGGCGTGGTAGTATGGTACCCCTTTCTATGTCTAGCTTATTTTTTGATTGCATTTATAATATTCAAATACTCAAGGGTCATGATCTTTGTTCTGATAAAATCTGTCTAAATTCACAATTGTCAGGGTTTTTGTCTGGTCTTTAGGCTTTCTGGAAGCTAATAAGCTGACATGGTCACTGTGTAATCACATTAAATGATATATTTATTACTATAATATAATATAGAATCATCATTATGATGGTTGTTTTGTGGATAAGCAAGGGATGGATTGGCTACCAAGGCAAAAACACTCGCACGCAGTTGCGTTTGATTAATATATTGATAATGGGGTGGTCAATAATTGGACATTCAAATGTTTTATTCGTTCTTAGAATGCAGAGAAGCATATCATAACCTAAAGTCGCTAGCAAAGGATTTATTAGTGTGTAGAAACAGTCTTATTCAAGATAACATGGATTATAATATTTAAGATAAGACAGCGTGAAACGCGTTAGTTGCACCAAATCCCAAATTAAACTCTTGCCTAACAATTGTCTAGTAGTTTGGTGCAAACTATCAGGTTAATTAGTGGTTTTATTCTAAGGCTTCAATCATCATCTATATTGATGGAAAAAGTCCCTTAAGAACATGTGTACAATACCCCATTCACAACCTTATATTCTTTTTACACACCTAACATTTTGACATAAATCTCAAGCAATTAATAGATGAATATTCCATGTAAATTAAAAATGAATCCTCTACAAAAATTTATTGTTAAATTAAAGATTTTATCGTGCATATCATATTCATAGAGTTTCATATTAATTCAATTTTTTTATTTCATCAACATATTTTTTAATTTTTTTTTTAATATTAACATAATAATAAATTTCAGAACTTGCTCAGCGGGAAAGCTAATTGTTTGGTCAAGAACTTGAGCATAGAAAAGATAATAAATAGGAAAAATACTCAATTCTCAAGTCTAGTCCATGCAACAGAAAAAAAATTGGCACGTTTATTTAACTATTATTAAGCTCTAGCCTCAAATGTCAGACATACTTAATATTTGAAATTTCTGTCATATAACCCATCCACGTTTGTCAATCCACCAAATCCGTAATTCACCTGTAAATAAGACAATTGGGTATCATTTTTAAATGTTTGTCATCTTTTGAAATTATTGAAAAAAAAAGGTTTATTATGATCAATATCGTGACAAGACATTAAATTGCGACATCACAACTTTTTATCAAACGATATTAAACTCTATACGATTGGTTGGTTTGGTGGTTATCTGTAGGTTATCTGTATAACCATTCTTATGAGTTCAAGGATGGGTAACTGTGGATGAAATCTACAGAAAGATCAAAACATTTCAGATGAGAAACATTTTGATTATTGAATCTTCATAAGATGTAGAATATTTTCTTAGACTCACGAATCAATTTCAACTCAAAATTTTAAGGTATCAGATTTATAAGTCATTTTATTAGGTATGATTCATACTTCTCATTTAGACGAAGACTCTTGTTGACCTGTACTATTATGAGTCTCTAATTTATTGTAATTTTCTTTTTTTTAATAGTTTGGCTTAGATCCATGAATAAACTGAGTGACTTATAATGAGTGACAGTAAGGTGAATATAGTACATACATACATACTAAATGTAACCTACATTGAATGAATCAGGATAAATCAATCTATCAAATCTCTCTTCTCTTTCTCTTTTATTTTCCAATTTGTGGAATTATCAATTTCCAATACATTTTAATTATATTATCTTCACTTGACACATTTGCAATCAATGTGAAACTTCCTTCTTCACACTTGAATTATCATTCCCATCACTTATTAAGGTCAACCATTCGTAGACCAATACTGGTGAAAAGATATATGTAAATATAAAAATAAAAAAACTTATTAATATGTTTATGTTTATATAACTAAAGAAAACCATGTTGGGAAGCATAGCAGCATCACAAATGAATGTTGTTGGTCATATGCGGTCACCTGATTTAACTAATCTTGTGTTTTATACTAGTACTTGAATTAAGAGGTTTTGAGCTGAACTTCAAATCAATATTATAATATGGTGGTCCGAAAGGAGGAAGTAGAATGCAAATTGAATTCTTCACAAAACATGGTTAACAGGAGAGTAGAAATTGAAGTATAGATGTGTCAGAGAAGTCAAATTGATTGATTATTAACTAAGAAGAGGAGCTGCATAAAAGCATCACCCTTAAGTATGAGTCATACCTTCTCACATGGATTAATAACAAGATTTTCAAGATGCAAATCCTGGTAACCCCACAGGAAAGAATAAGATTCGGAGCAAATCTATGAGAAAGGTAAAAGCTGGTTGTTTTCACCGAGTAAAGATCATTTCAGACCAAGAGATAACTTAAAAAATGCAAAAGCCATGTGCAACAGTACAGGGATTGAAAACTATCAATATACTAAGCAATCAAGCTTCACTCCTTGACCTTGTGTTTCATATTAGGACATAAGTATATAATTAACTACTCTAATATCCAGTTAAAATTCTAATAGAGAGAGAGAGAGAGAGGAAAGGGTCTCAGTCTAACGCTCACATGGTATTCAACTATTCATAGTTTTATTAAAATGGAATTTGATACTTTATTGCTTCTTTGTTGGCTGAAGGGGAAAATCATTGCACTGGACCAATTTCATTGTTGTTTAATATATTCATTTGGCTCTTTTGAGAGTTTAGACAGCAAAGCCTGTCTCTTTCAGCGAGGCAAAGTTCACTGGCTTGTCTTTTGGATACGAGGCTGATCAGATTTTTCACAGATTTTGTTTCCCATTTTCCATTCTCCCCCACATTTTTTTTTTTTTTTTAAACATTTAGTTTGCTGATAATTTACTATACACTTCTCAGAGCTATAGGAGGAGCAGTTGAATCAGGGCATGATGGCCAAAATGAAGTGTACACCAATAATGCAATGCCATGTACAGAACAATATTCTCCACATAGAGAAAGAGGGTAGGCAATGTGGATGAGTCCTGGCCACACCGTTCTGAGAGAGAAGATGTGAGGACAAAAGCTCTCTCTCTTTCATTAAAAAAAACAAAATAGAGGGCCAGGTGATAGAAAGTGCTATGAAAACAACCACATGCCTTCCTTTTTCTCTATCTTGGCTTCCATTTGGGTGCATCACCCTCTAATGATTGCTAGGAATAAAAACAAAACAAGTTTGGCCCCATTTCAGGAACCAATCAACAGAGGCCAACACCATTTCTCTATCCAATAGGCCATTACCATTCATCAATGCCCTCCAATTAATAAATAAAGTTCTTTTTTTTTTTTTTTCAGGGACTAAATCCAATTCATCTACCTATTTCACAAACCCAATGGCCCAAAAGAAAGTGAACCTTAATGTTTTATTAAAATCTTCTTTTTTTAAAAAAAATAATAATAAAAAATCTTCAAAGTCCTTGTAGGAAAAGGTAAGAAACACAGTGAAATTTAACATTATCATAAAACAGATTGTACGGCTTTTATCACATGACACCCATTTGTCCTGGAAAAGAGAGAGAGAGAGAGAATGAAAGAAAAAAAACTTTTATCATCTAGCATGACCACTTGATGACTAGTTCTGACCATCAATCTTGACCGTTGGATAAGAGACAGCAATTCGCGAGCACTGTTTGATTGGAATGCTTTGAATCCCCGTGTTGTTTGTTTTCCCAAAAAAAGGTTAAAATTTGCACTTCCATGTAATTGAGGCACATTGAAAATATTCTTTTTGCTTTGCAGGGACGAGTTAAAAAAGAAGTTTTACCTGCAAGGTGACGTAGAGCTCAAAAAAAAAATAACATACCAAACGCTCCATAGGTATCCAAAATATAGATTAGTATTATGTTGCAGCAAATGAAAGTTAGACACTTTGGTTAACCTAATGATGCTTTAATCTTTTTCTTTTTTGCTTAATTCTGTTCTCTCTCTCTCTCTCTCTCTCTCTCCTATATCTTTAAATTCTATCTTTGCAAGCAAGTTAAGATGATTGAGGGAACATGGGAGATCTTATCCGTAATAGGTACAAAATAATAGTGATTAATTGTATACACATGCTTTGAAAGTGGACTCTTTGTTCTTCAATTTATTAGAAATAGTTTGTGCCTCCCGTGACTAATAAAATTTAAAGTTTGTTGAACCGAAAAACTGAAGAAAAAAAAAAAAAAACACAATTCACGAATTAGTTAGGACTGCACGAGAATACGATAAAATTAATGAGGCAAGTTGTGTACGAGCCCCCACCTTGTCCAATCAAATAAACCTGAAATTTCGTCATGGGAGGTGCCATGTGAGGCCTCTATCTTTTCTCTATTTTATTAATCATATTAAAAGCATATAATTATTTTTTAATCTTTCATTTCGTTTAATTAGTCAAACTCTCAAACGTTAAACCTCCTAGTTAATCATGTCTTATGGCCGTAAGCTTCAAACCACATTTTACTTATGCAACCCTTCAAAAAAACATAGATATTTTGATTTTATATTAAAAAATTGTATTATAATTATTATAATATAAAGAAAGAAGGGAAAGGGCAATAAATGTGAGTAACTGCAGGACGCGTGGTTCCACGTGACTTCAACTCCTTTTATACTCTTTCTTCTCTACACCTTCATCATCTTCTCCTTCTCCTTCCTCTTCTTTGTTGATTGTTCATTCAACCTCTGAAATTCTTCTCATCAATCTTTCTATAGTTTAATCATTTGTCGCTATTTCTATGGCACCTTTCGAACCGAACATAGATTCCACGATGCGAGAATCCAATCACAAGAAGAGAAGGAAAATCGGAGAGCATCAAAATTCGCTCGATCTCATAGCGTGGAGATCCGAGGCGGAGCAGCAGATCTACTCCTCCAGGCTCGTCGAAGCTCTCCGCAGGAATCCTTCCCCTGCGGCGACAAAGCCTAGAGCCGCCGGTAAGGTCCGCGAGACCGCCGACCGAGTCCTCGCCGCGACGGCCAAGGGAAGAACGCGGTGGAGCCGCGCGATTCTCGGCCGGTGGAAGAAACTGCAGAGGAAGCACAAGAAAGTGAAGAGAACCGCCACCGGATTGAAGAGAGCCGGGATTGGCGAAGAGAGGAGGAGACAGCGGTTACCGCCGGTGCAGAAGAAAGCGCGCGTTCTCAGCCGGTTGGTCCCCGGTTGCCATAAGCTCTCGTTCCCGAACCTTCTCGAAGAAGCGACTGACTATATTTCCGCCTTGGAGATGCAAGTTCGAGCCATGACGGCTCTCGCCGAGCTACTTTCCGGTGGCGCGTCGACTGAACTCGCCGGTCACATGTTGAGTTGACCCACCCGCTTTGTTTACAAACTTGGCTATATTGCGCCAGGTGTTTCTTAATTTTTTTTATTTTTTCTCTTTTTTTTTTTTAATATGGTTTTTATTGGCCTTCAGATTCATGTATTTTATCGTGTACACTGTACATGCCATTCGCTTATTCCTCCACTATCACCACTTTTTTCTTCTTCTTTTTTATTCTTTTAAGTATTTCATATTTATTTGAATGTGAACATGCTACCGACTTTGATTCTTTTCTTAACTACTCGAAAGATAACTAATTAAATGACTCGTTATAAATATTTATCATAGAAAAATAAACGATCGCTTAAAATTGTAATTATATATGTTAAAATTATTCTAATGTAATTTAGTTGGTGTCAGAAATCTGAAAAGGTGAAGATGAAAATATGTGTTCGATTGTTTTTAGTATTATTTTTTAGAGTGATTTAAATTCTTAATTTTAGAATCTATCCTGAATTAGCGACTAACTATGAACAGATTAAAATATCTCAATTTTTTTTTCTAAATAATCTTTTTCAGTATTTAATATTGTCCTTCCTTAATAAAGTTTATATCAAACCTTTTCTCTACGAGCGGTATATCCATGATAAGTTTCAATATAATATTTGTGAAAAACGGTAAATCAAGTATGTTTTGACTGTATTCTAATTTATTTTTTTCTTAAAATTATTTTGTAAAATAATTATGAAAAATGATATTTTTTATATTTTTTTAAAGTTAAAAGTCAAAATATAAAATAAAAATAACTTGTACATGCTTTTTAAATTTGATTCTAAAAATATAAAAAAAATCTTTTCAATTTTTTTTTACAAAACAGACCTTATGAAATGAACTTTTTTCTTCTAAAAATTAAAAAATTATTTTTAAAAATCTTATTCAAACAGGTTGAAGTTTTTTTTTTTTTTTTTAATGGTTCGACCCTTCGGAGAATACAATTTCAAGGTTTAGTAACATGAAGAAAAAACACATTTTCAAGTTTTTAAAAAGAGAGAAAAAAACTGAGTTTATCTCTTCCTCCGACTTAATTATTGTCATTTTCAGCCTTTTATTGTTTTAGTTTGAACTTGTGAATGTTCACATTTTATCGCTGATATTCTGATAATAACTCGTTACACTTTCTCGGGATTTGTATTGCTTAGAAGTTACAGACTTAAATAATTGCTATTACCATTCTGTGTACCAAAAGAGAATTGCATTTATGTTTGCAAAGTGAAAAGCATAAAAAGAAGAAGGGCGTGCTACTAAATCATAAGTGAATGGTAGTTAAAATTCAATTTAAAAATGTTTTTTAATCAAAATAATTTTATTAAAATTTCAAACACTTTTATATTAGGATTTTATGTTATGATTTTTTATTTTATTTTTCAATTTTAGATAAAATTTCAATTTTAATTACCATGAATTAACACAGCCAACTTCGCATTCAGCTTTATAAGTAAGTAGTAAAAGCTCGAGATTTTGAAAATTAGTGTGGATAATGGCAGCACGCAATTTGGATATTCTCGTATAAAAAAATAATTATATGATTATGTTATTTGATCACAAATACTCGTTGAGATAAAAAAGAAAAAAAAATTAAATGAATGATTATAATTAAATAACATAACTATATGATCACTTTTTCACATGAGAGGATTCAAATTCGCCCGTACTATATGTTATCATCTCAAAGTTTGATTTTAAGGAGCACTGGCACTTCTTTTTTTTCATTTCTTTATCCCATTTTCTCCTTCTCTACATAAATAAGTAGGCGATTTAAAATTAAAAACAAAAAATCCAAAAATGTAAGGGATTAACTTATTACTCCTCGTTCCTTGGCATTCTCATTTTTGGGTTTGCTCTTCGGCCTTAATATGATACTTCAATATTACCAGCCATAGTAGTAATAACATTACTTTCAAAAATGCACATTTAAAGATTTCTCCCCACATGTGTGTCAAAAAAATTATTTAATGTTAGATTAACTTTAAAATAAAACGAAGGTAGACAGTAAAATACAAAGCTGTCAAAAAAAAATACAAGATCTAAACATTTCATGGACCCATTAAAAAAATGCATTATTGAAAAAAAAAATATAAAAAGGGATCTTTTCAAATTGATGTTTCAAAAATCACCACTTCGGTGCTTTCGGCTAGTAATGATCCTTCATCAACAGATACAGAACCTGTTGTGTACGGTATGAGCAGATTACATTCCATTAGAAGTAATTCATGGACCAAATTGTTTATGCAAATTTTGACTTTGGGTCGTACTTCACTGACAGTCAAAATTTGCATTCGCAATTAACTAATCAAACAATATGAAGTGCTTATCTTTTGGTGGCATTATCACCATCACAGCTTCACTAACATATATTATCCCACTGTCATTTGTTGCTCCACTTTTGGTTATATATATATATCCTTGTGGTTTACAGCATCTTTCTTAAACTAGCTAGTGCTTAATCAAAATGATAAAACGTTATTAACTAACAACAATACTCATTTAAAGTACTTAGTAGTTGGCATCCACTGGCAAAACTGTCTCTGCCCCAACATGAACACTTCTTCCCACTAAACTTGTCTCTGTTAAACCGTTAATAAGGGTTCATAGAGGTCATTATTTTATCCTCTACAATTAAACTACAAGTACAATTAAAAAGACATACATTTATAAATAATAATAATAATAATAATAATATGAAAGTCACAATTTTAAAAATTGTAAAATTGCCAACCTGCGGTGACACATGTGCCGTACCTTTAAAAGGCGTGGGTTCAATTCCCTTTTATCTCTTTGAGGCTCGTGTTGGTGGATAAATTGTAAAACGGGCTTTTCTTTTTGCTGTTCTTGGAATAAATAATAGAGATTGAACAGATTTGCCGTAGCCCTGATGGGTCACATACCGTTGTTTCCCTTGCCAGAACTTTTATCTACTAAAAAAATTTGTAAAATTTACATCAAGTGCAAACATTAGATTATAAAAAAGAGGAAGGAAGAAATCATAAAGATGAGGAAGAGAATATCCTGAATGGCAGTTTTGGGTATTTGTGAGGTAAGAAAATTGAAAAAAAGAAAAAGAAAAAAGAAACAAAAGAACCCCAAATATTCAAAAGTTAGTAATAAAGGAGGCAAAAATTCCAAATAGCCTTGGGTGAGTCTCATAGCATGTGCCTCGGAGGCCCTACAATATCAAGTGCACCGATCCTTTGCACATTGGGTTGCATGTGACTGTGTGAGTATAATAGGGAAGAGTTTCCACATGCTATTTTAAGAAGGAGAATGCGTACTGGCTTCTTGCATTGCATATTTGCATCCACATTGTTCTTCTAATTGGAATACACACTTGAGGGTCAGATCGTGGGATAAAGACTCTTGGTTTGGGACCTACCCCCCACCCCAGTGGGTGAATTAGCGACTTTTAAGAGATACCTTTTTCCTAATTAAAGACTGACACGTGTGGAACCTTGTCAATACAACTGTCCAAGTTCCAGATGACCAGATTGTGACATGCCATGCCCATGTGGCAATCCCATTATATTTCACTACTTGGCTCTTCCTGCAGCCACGCCCATTAATTATAAAAATGCTATGTGACTAATTTAAAAGAAACAAATGATAATCAATATAATACTATTTATATATATATATATATATAGAAAAACATTTCTCAAGTTACTTGAGACAATGTTATCTCCGGCCACTCCAAAACTACGTCGTTTTATTTATTTATTTCTTTATATTAATCGATTCACCTTTGAATGATTCCCTTTTTCTCTCTTTTTCTTTATCACCATCGATCCATCTTTGTACGGTTATGATTTAGTAGCAGGAGATAACATTGTCTCAAGCAGCTTAAGAAATGATAAATTCATATATATAGAGGGAAAAACTACTCTTATGTTACATGTGATAACTTTCTCTCCTACATACCCTTCGATAACTGTGTCACCTTTTTCTTTTCTTTTATTTTTTATTTTTCAGATTGTGGAGCCCACAAATTTATCTCTATTACATAAGATAATTTATCTTCTTTAACATGAGATTAATAAAACTCATATATATATATATATATATATATATATATATATATATATATCTAAAGGTTAAATATAACATAAAGTTTAAAAATCATTAAAATGGTACTTTTTTACAGGGTTTCTTTTTTTCATGTTGCATGAGAAAACAAACTCTTTCTACACACACTATAAAAAAATGTGTCACTCTTTTTTTTGTTTAAATAAGTGGGTCTCACACTTAATATATCTATGACATGAGATTAGAATATTCCTACAACGTAAGATTTAATTTTCCTTTTTTATAAATATACATGTGTTTGTGATAACTTTGCTTCAATGTGAATATATATATAAAGAGATGGTTAATTAGAAGGGACCACATCCACGTATAATGTGTATTTTGTTGGGTTGCCCCTTCTGACTTCCACGAAATCACATTATTTGTGGGTTTTCTTTTGTTCTTTTTCATTCCCATTAGTCACCACATTTCACATGCATCCATGTGCTTCCATTTAAGAAGCCGTCACTCTTTTTTCTTTGTTCTTTTCTTCTTTTTCTTTATTTTCTCATTCCCTCCTTTCGTTTTTTTCGTTCATCTTTATCTTCCTTTCTTACTTTTAATTGTTGAAGAACGCTTGGCTCAAATCATAGAGGGCAAACAACCTATATCAAGCCACAACCACGATGTCCTAATTTATGGAATCTGCCCCAAGTGGAAATACTAAGAATTCTTTTTTAGTTTTTTCGTCTTAAATACTAAGAATATATTTTCCATTTTAACCATAATTCTCTCAAGTAACAAAACATCATGTTGAAATCTTTGCCTGCTTAACTTTTTTTTTCTTCTATAAATCACATATATTTTTTTACGTGAAACAATTCTATTCAAGGCGGATTCAAGATTAAGACTTTTAAATAGGGATGTGCAAAATAACTAAAAAACTGAACCGAACCACCGAACCGAACCGCCGTTAAAATAACCGGTTTTTAAAAATCAGTTCATGAACCAAACCGGTTTTTAAAAAACCAGTTCATGAACCGAACTAATTTTTAGAATCAGTTTAAGAACCGAACTATTTTGAACCGAACCGAATCGTTTTCAAACCGAACCAAATTGATTTTTATAACTTTATTTTTTCAATTTTTAAT